CATTTTTTTGCCAGATCTTTGCAATTTGGGTACCCTGAATCATGCGAACTGCGGTGCACTCTTTGGCAGTGGACGGAGCTAGGCTGGTCAGCCGCCGTCAGGATGAGACCATAAAATCATGTTCGGGGCTCGGGGGTGTCTCCTGCTGGAGCAGCTCAGAGTGGAGGACGTCTAAAGAGATGGATTTGGTAGCAGAAATGGGCCAGATTCCTGCCCCCAACCTTAGCTTTGGGGCTTAGCTGTAAGAGGGAGGTCAGTGCTGGCATTAAGACTTGGGGAGACAGGATGCAGGATTCAGTTCTCAGCCTTGCTGCAGGCTTCCTGCAACCCAGAGCAGATCAGTGAGGATGAGATTCGAGGCGGTGTAGGCACGGGGTCATGCTTATTCTTGCTCTCTGGCCCTGAGATGCTGCCAGTCCCAGGTTCACAGCAGCCCAGTGTCAGCAGAGGCGTTAAAGGAGCTCCTGCTCCCTGGCTCCAGGGATTACGGATCGTATTTACTTGTAAAGTGCTTGGCAGTTCTTGGAAGCAAGATGCACCGTGGGATTTGTAGGTATTGCCACGGGCCTGATATAAAATGCAACATGGAAAAACTGTAACCCCACTCACTCCTCCATCTGGGGGACAAACAGTGACTCCTGGCGAGTGATGACATGATGATACCAAGTCTCTAGAGTCAGGATTTTGAGTTACTAATGGATAAAATGAGGTATCTAATCTTACTGAGAGATCCTGCCACGAGGCGGCTTAAAGGATCCCCTTTTTAGCTGGTACAAGCTAAGCACTTTGTAAACAGTTTTCAAAATCCTGACCTTACCGTATCTCCTCAGTGGAAGAACCCTATAGCTTTGTTTATCTTCTCTTGGCAAAGCAGGGTTGTTCTTTGAGTTCAAAGTACTCCGTGATGTGGAGTTGAATGCCTCCAGGGTGCACACGCACCCTTGGCCGTGACTCATTTGTTTGCAAGAAGCAACTGAGTTCTGCTCTTGCTGATTCCCTGACGGTGGTGGAGATAAAAGCACTGCTTGCTTGCATATGCATCCCTTGAATTTTAAGTGAATTTACAGGATAGTAACGCACGACCCCCAGTCTTCCCCACGACCCAGGCGTGCATTTTTTTCTGTCCATGCATGTTTTTTCTGTGCGTGCATTTTCCACGAGCATTTCTCACACATGTAAGTGACCTCAAATCATTTCTGTAATGCTTTCTGTGCGTAATTCTCAGCGTGTGGCTTGCTCTCGAGGTGCTTATTGAAAGATAAGGAGGCTGCTGTCTGAAGCACAGGAGACGCCCTCGCACCCAAGGAGGTGCAGTGGTTTAGCAGAATTAAATGGCTTAGCTGCCACCGAGCAATCCCGTGCCAGCTGGCCATGGTCTGGGGACGGGACATGGGTAGACGTAAAAATGCAGCGTACCCCTACATGTCAGTTGTGAAAAGTGAGTTGGACATAGCCAGTATTTCTTTAAACCCAACATATACCCCACTGCCTCGTGCTGTGTATTGGTAACCACAGGTTACGTCTCTGCTGGTGGCTTTTTATAACATGGTCTGCTGAAATCCTGCATCAGATGGTTCCTCCAGAAGCTCAGTTGCCTGACAAAGGGATGTTTAACGCACCACATTTTGGTACTATATTGAATTAAGTCTTTCAGTAAGCCCCAAACCACAAATTTTCTAGTTGTTTGCCGCAATGCCAAGCACCTTTCAACCCTGTTCCCAAGGCAGTAAAACATTTTGCAGTCCTTGCGTAGGAGAACTACAGAAGGGCAAAAAAAAAAGCATTTTGTTCAGCTTTCCTTCTCCCAGGGAATTAGTCGGTATTTTGTATTCATCAGTTGTCAGAGGTTTTCTTCTGAGCCTCATGATCCGAACCCGCTAAGTACAGCAAATCCAGATTAGAGCCTCTCATAACAGAACTACTGGAGACATGATGAGGGAGGTGGATGAAGGAGCAGACAAGCAGATAGTGAATGCTGAAGCATACCACTTATATTTCTTGAAGTATTTTCCTGTTTGGAATTTCCAGAAGTATCAAAAAGGCTTAAATAAGTTCATCCAATCTCCCCTGTTCTGGAAGAGAGACATCGAATCCATCTGTTCTCATCAGGGCTGTTTCTCAAATCAAAGCTAGCAGCTGAAATAGCAAGTGGAAACATTGGAAGAAACATGCTCTGTCATTCCAGTGTTAAGTGGTGCCCCCAAATTGTAATATTTGTGCTTTGAATCGAGCCAGTCCTGAGCTGCCGAGTTCAAATCCAAACATAGCTGCAATTAGGGAGGGGACTGCCTGATTCAAGCCTTCCTCCGCATGTTTTTTTTTCAGTGTTTGTTTTCTCTTGTGTTGTATTAGAGGAGTTTCAACTCTCCAAAAAGCTCTACATGAGGCCAAAATAGCACAAAAGCTGCTCTTCCTATCGCGTTTGATTTGGAGGCAGCCCCAGCCTCTCGAGGAGATGAAACCTTGCACTGCTCTGAGCCCCTCGGATAGCACCCAGCTGCAAGGGCACCTACGAATTATTATTATTAATATCATAGTTAACACAAGCCCAAGGGCTGATCTCTCCCAGCTTTTATAGGTCCCTGTGGGATCAAGGGCACGTTCTGGTCTTTGAGATAAAAACTAACCTCTAGTGAAGCTAATTATAGATAACCAACAGCGTCCTCTGATCCCTTGCTTCCAGCTGCAAGCTGCGCTCACTCTGTCTAGTGCAATGCAATAGGCCTATGTAATGCTCTCACACCAAAATGGGGTTTACCCAATGGAGAGGTGGTTTTTCCCCAGGAGAAGGGCTTTATCGAAGGGGAAGTGGCTCTGCTTTGGTTTTGGGGCCCTGGAGGGGTCTGCACCTGCTTCTGGTTTATTGGCTGGCATCAGTGTTCAGGAGCACGGGGCAAAGCCTGTCTGCACGGCTCTTGGTTTTTGCATCGTAGACTTTGATGGTCACACTGGCTTTTGGGATGGGGCAATGCGGACGGGAAGATTTGCACCAAGCCAGGAAAATCACCCATGCTCAGTTCAGGCTCCAGCAGCTGGAAGTGCCCAGTGGCATGAATCTTGGCAGGCAGGGTCACCTCCGAGCAGGGCCTGGCCTGGTCTGGGAAGCCCAGGTCAGTGCTGGGGACTGTGCTAACATCAGGGTCTTCCTCTGCCTTGGGGTCTCACGCTCCTCCTGGCTCCTGCTTTTGGCTGTCTCTCCCTCCCAGCCTGGAATCGCCCATCAGGAGATGCCATCCCACCTCCCACGTAGCTCCTTCTCCAGCACCTGAGACAACTCCACTCAGGTCCCCAAAGGGGAAGACCAAGGCCTCCATGGACAATTATGGAGCCCATCTTCTTCTGGGACTACTCCACCAAGCTGTGGTCGGGTCATGTCCCTCCTACAAATTTGATCACACTCCTCTTGTCTGTCCCAGGGCCTGTGATCTTTGTCCATGACCTGGAGAGGACCTTAAGTCTTGCTCCTTCCCCTTCCTACATCCCTACCATGCAGCAGATGGCTTGTCTCCTCAAATCTTCTCCCTCTTGCACTGCTGATTCCTGCTCCAACAGTAGCACCCCACTACTCTTCCTACTGCGGGAGGCTGGGAGAGAACTGTTTCTGTTTTTCTGACCCATAAATCTCCCTCCCGCTTAGATACCTCTGCCCTTAATTAAGGCCAAAGCAAAAAAATCTATTAATAGAGAGGAAGCAAGGAGAGATGGCAGGCGACCTGTGTTATTGGGCTAGGTTAAGCATGGGATTATAGGAGGGGTGCTTAGAAATGTCAAGAAGGGCTCCATCCATTTCTTCCCCCTTGTTGCTTGCTGTCTGGGAATGGGAGGGATTTGCAGCAGGTCATCCAGATTAAAAAGCCTGTGGAGTAATTTGATCAGGGCTGAACGGGGAGGAAAAGGAAAAGAAAATAAAGCCCAATAAGGGGGCTGCCAGTTTAGAAGCAAATCTATGTTTTCCCTCACTGCAGTAATAAAAATCCTGGGTGCAAGAGATATGGTGTGAGAAGTCCATAGGGACAAGGCAAAGCCATTCTGAGCAGATGGCTCCCAACCACCTAAAACTTCCACGCTGCTAAATCCCATTAAGTGCAGAGTTTATTAAAGTTCTGGATATCAAGAAGCAGCTATTTAAAGCCTTGATCACCTGCCAAATGGGGCTTTATGAGCCATATTTCCTGTCCCAAATCACTTCTTCCATCTACCATCTTCTGGCCGTGTTATCTACTTAAGAAATGGCCCAGTTTTTAAAATGATGCAGCTTCTACAGCCTGCTACACCAGCCCAGCTGTGCCAAAACTGGGGCAGGACAGTGGGGAGGGAAAGCAGAAGTGCAAATGTGGTCTCCTAGGATTCCTTCTAGAGCTACATGGGAAAGTGGGCTTCCCTTTTTCTTTAGGAAAGTATATTTTCATGAAGCACCAGTGACAGTGTGGCAGTAGCTGGTCCAAGGCATTCCCGCGGAGACTATCTGGGGTCAAATTAACAAAATTAGGACTCCTGGGTTCCAGCCATGCTTTGCCACAAAGCTTGGAATTATTTATTTCTTGGTAAAAGCGTCAATATGTTGAGGGGTGCCTAGTGCACGCATATATTAAACTATCAAGCCCTCATTGCCTCTGTTGACCCAGTACTTTCTGTAATCCTCGGTATTTCACCAGGACTGAAAAAATGAAGGTTGGTAAAGCTTGAGTCTGGTCAGAGCTGTAACATGATGTGATGAAATGAGGGTAACGTGCAAGTCTGGGAGTGCTGCTAACACAGGGACTGCCTCCATCGGCTCAGTGAACTCTCTGCAATAGCCCTTGCCTATGATAAAGGTTTTTTTCTTTTTAATTTTGGTGGGGTTCATCATCAGCTGAGAGCCCTTCATTTGGCTGCAGAGGGTGTGGGGAATAGGAGCTTTCTAAAAAAATGTGTGCTTGTGGGGGGAAAAAAGCCCAATTCAATTAAAGATATGAAGAGCAGCAAGCAGAGAGAATAGTGAACATTTAATCTAGACAAATGACATTAAAAAATATATAAACATTCAGCAGAATTATGGCTTATCATCCCATTTCCATCGACTAGCCTGAGCTGGGCAGATATTCCCATCCATTATGTGGAAAAAAAGCTGTGAATTTTCTTTGAAGTCAAAGAACAGACTGGGTAGTAAAGGCCTGTATCCTGCCAGATATCTTTGAGGACTTTTCCCCAGCGTGAGTGTTTCCTTAGCTAGCCTGAGAAAATGACGCTCAAATTAAATGTAAAGGAAAGTTTTCATAATTCATTTCTTTCTGGAAATAGCTTCAAAACCTGGCCTTTAAGCCAGACTGGAATTGTGAGTTTCCTATAGGGGAGTTTTAATAGTGTTAGGTTGGTGAGATGGGATTTTTTTGCTTGTTCTTTTCTTTTTTTGTGTGTGGGTCCTACAGGGAGAAAATGAAAACTGGCTCTAAACCCATTCAAATGCTGGGAAAATCAAGTCCTGCTCCCTGCACTGCACTTCATCCACCATATGTTGGCTGCCACTAAGGCGAAGTTGTGAATTAGTCCCATATATAGAGAGAAAACTCGAACCCCGTGGCTTAACCTCCCGTGAGGAGCTCTAAATAAATTCGAGGTGTCTGTCTTCAGGGACGTTGTATTTTGCTTTATGCTCCTCGAAGAGCTTGGACAATTCACCTAAGTATTTCTGGTGCACCTGATCAACGTCTTCCTCAGAGGGGTTGTGCTTCTTCTGCACGGGAATCGGCTTCCCAACTGGAAAACAAGCACAGACGTTAGGAGGAGCCACAGCCTTAGCGTTAGGCACATCTGGGTGCTTTGCACAACTTACTACAGGGTTGGGCCCATCTTTCCATGAATGGATTTATATGACCAGTCATATCTGTTTAGGAGGTTGTAAGGCAACCGATAGGGAGGTGGAGGCTCAGATCCTGGCTCTGCTGTTGGTGACCTTTCAACATCATCCTAACATCTGGGCTTGGTTTTCCAAGCCGTTCCCACATTGCCCTGGGAATCTTCATTGCAGATGGGGGAATGTGAGGCACCGGGCCCTGAGTTACTTCTCTTGCTCTGGATCTCGCTTTAATCGTGTTTGTCAAGCGGCGATGAGACATCGCTGCCTAAGTCTGCTCTTTGTCAAACTAAGGAAGAGCCCTTGTGACACCATGTGGCTTGTAAAACCATCGAGACAAGACAAACAGGTTGTAAAACAATTAGAAGCAATTGCTGGCTGTCAAACCTAATCAACAGGGGTGAGCGTTGACCTTCCAGCTGGCCTCTTTAGTTAGCCTCCTTCCGAGCTTTGGCCATGCTGTGGGCCGAGCCGAGCAGTGTTGAAGCCAAGTGAAACTTCCTCAAAACCACAGAGTTTCATGAAATTTGGTGTCCCCCAGGCATGGAAGAGCACAGAAATAAGGCTGCGGCTCTGCTATAGGGAGATGGGTTTTATACCCAGAGGTGGCAGGGCAGCTGCCTCTACCTTGGACTTTCTGAGCCGTACAGACCAAGCTGGTGTCACAGCCTGGGGCATGCAGGGGCCCACGCGTTTTTCACCCTCCGTGTTATCCCTTCTGCTTCAAACCTGCTCCTATTCAGCTGATGTCCAGGTCCCATTTCAAGCCGAGCTTGTGTAATCACCACACAGACAGCTATGATTTCAAGCTGCCTGCACTCAGGAAGTCATTTCCAGTCATATTTTGAAGTTTTTATTTGCATCTGCTGCCAGAAAATTTTGCTTTCTTAACAAAAGCCAAGACCTTGCTCCGGGAGCCTTTAAACAGAGGCTATGTCCAGGCTGGTGAGCAAAAAAGGGCCACAGCAGTGACACGGGTGTTTGGCAGGGAGGGAGAGTACGGATGCAAGCCATGTTGTGCCGCTTGCCCTCGGACCCCCAAGAGCAATTTCTTTAAATAGCTGTTACGACCGTAGCTGCCGCAGCAATTTAGCCAGGAGGGAAAGCGACCCAAACCACATCCCTCCAGCATGCAAAAGCTCTGCTTTTCCATTGGGCCGCTCAAGCAGCCCCTCAGGGGTTGGGGTGGGTGGCATCGTGCTGGCGGGCCGAGGAGGAACTTACCCACGGTGTAGATGGGCCAGCGGTAGGGGATGAGCCCGAAGCTGTACTGGAAGATGCCTCGCGCGTGGAAGAGGGGAAGGGCGATGCCCATGACCTGCTGGAGCCGGTGCTGGAGCCACCGCAGCCAGGAGCCCTTGGGATTGTTGACCTGGTCAAAGAGCTCGTTCTCGCCGAAAGAGAAGATGGGGACCAGCGGGGTGCTGCGGGGACAGGGGCCCAAATCAGCAC